CCAGTTATCGTGGGATCACACTCCTCAGCCTCCCCGGAAAGATCTACTCCAAGGTACTGGAGAAGGGACTTCAACCGGTGGTCGAATATCGGATTCAGGAGGAGCAGTGTGGTTTTCGTCTCGGCCGCGGAACACTGGACCAGCTCTATACTCTCCATTGGATACTAGAGGGTTCATGGGAGTTCCTCGGGGTGCCCTTTGTCACCGGTTCTGTTCACAGTCTTTATGGACAGAATGTCTAGGCGCAGCCAGGGGTCGGAGGAGGTCCGGTTGGGAAGTAGCCGGCCGGCTCTGATGCTAACAGAGCTGGCCAAGAACCCGCTAGCCCATGGAACAGAGACTTTCCATGGGCTTTATATAACAGTAGTATGTGTTCACGGAGGTGCGCCTTACGTGTTTTCATATTATTAAACGGTATTTCCGCATCGGCGAACACACTCGGAGCAGTTGCATAAGGTCACGGGAGCATGACAATGCATATTTTCACAAGCACAGAGTCCCCCATTGTCAACCCTGGTTTGAGTTCTGGTGAAGCCTGGTATAGGTCCTGTTTTGGCTGTTTATGAGTATTTTCAGTCTGCTCGCTCAGTCCGCTAATGTCCCCGTGACCACTTTGCTGCTCTCTGATTGGTTGTCGCACGAACGTCCCAAGGAAAGGATGAGCAGAATCCATCTCCTGTGGGCGTCGATTTTTTCGCTCCTGCTCCTCCCCTTTGACTTTCCCGCCAAGTCCGTGCGTGTCTACTGAACAGTCAGTCCGTGCGTGCCGAGAGGTCCGTGCGTTTTGACGCTGCAACGCGCGTCACCATAGACTTTTCATTGAAACCCGACGCCACGCATGATCCGGTCTGAACGCGCCATTAGAGATAGGGTGAGGAGCTCAGTCACACGAGAGGAGCTCGGAGTAGAGCCGCTGCTTCTCCACATTGAGAGAAACCAGTTGAGATGGCTCGGGCATCAGATGCCCGAGCCATCCTGAACCCCCTCGACGAGCTGGAGGAAGTGTGTGTGGATAGGGAAGTCTGGGCGTCTCTGCTTAGACTGCTGCCCCCGCGACCCGGCAACGGATGAAGCATAAAAAATTGATGGATGGATGGATTTGACTGGGTTCTTGTATTTATCAATTATTGAGACATTTTCTAGATAGCATACACTCTAAAATAACACTTTTACTGCTGCTACTTACATTTGTTGAAGCAAACGTGTGAAAAAATGAAAACACAACATGGTATTTGAGAATTCACAGCACGTTTTACTTGATAGTTTAATACAAACTGTAGAAAGAGGTTTGTATCTGAGGGAGAAAGACCACATCATGTTGAAACAGAAATAGAAAGCTTTTGGGAAGAGATCATAAAGTTCCAAAACATCCTGTTAAAAAGCCTTTGGAAAGCAAGACAAAAAGGCCACGCCTCTTTTTCAATATCCACAGGACAGATATAGAAAGATAAAAAGAGTTCTGAGGGAAGAGGGGACTCAAAACGTAAAAAAATAACATAAAATCCAGGAGGCATCAAGTACAGAGAGCACAGATATCCCCCCTCAATGCAGGCACATGTTCATCATAATATGTGAAGAAGTTAATAATGAAGTTTTATTTTGAGAATCAATGTAATATCTGGTCAGGTTAAAAGCTGGGGTACCTAACTTTATTTATCTGAGAATAACACACATAGTTTGTCCAATCGAAAGAGTATGTTTTGAACAAATCAGTCCACACATGCTGTCTTCATCTTAGATTAAAGAGAAAACCTATTATCTGTATATACATGTACAAAACAAAGAGCCTTGTGAGTCGCTATTTGACTCTTTGAGTGAGGGATGGTCTTTTCTTGAGGCCGACGCCATAAATACATATGTGTGAAAACTAGTGAAAGAACCAAACTGTTTTAGAGCCAAGTACTGGTTGAATTTTAACCAATAGTCATACGTCAGTTTAATATAGCGCTTTTTTTTTCCGACACTCAATTATTCATCCACTACATACAGTCCATGGTGGTGAAAAACTACCCCTGTACTCACAACTGTCCTGAGGCATAAACAGAAGAGAGGCAATGAGTCTGTGCCAACAGACCCTCCATCCACCACCAACCACTCACACACAAACACACACCAGACTCATTCTAGGCAACGTGGGTGAAGAGTCTTGCCTAAGGACACAAGGACAGTTTTGCACATACATCCGCCTCACTGTGGCACCTGGTGTTTCCAGAGGTCTCCCATCACAGTACTAACCAGGCCCTGCCCTGCTTTGCTTTAGAGGTCTGAGATGATCACACATTGTTATAGTTTGAAAGTTAGCTACCCTAAATTTAAAATGACTTTTTATTCTTGTTGTAAGCATTTTTTTATCCAGCTTTTTTCAGAAATAATTCATTATATTCTGTCATTGTTTGCAATGTGAGATAAAAAATCATTGTGTTGTTTTCCGGCTTATTGCAGTCCAGTTTGGGGCAATTTCCCCAATTATTATTATTCTTTAATGTAGATTACATTACAACATACAGTATGACAAAATTAACTTCTCCACAACACTACCACGTCCAAACACGTGCCTGTATTTTAGTCACACAGGTGACAACTTCGACTGTTTATCGCCTCTGTCTGTAATAGTTCACCCCCCTCAGCTTTAGACCCTCCCTTTCCCAGACAGCGGAGGGGCCGTTGGTCCTCTAGAATGCCACATGTTCCTGGAGTCTGCAGGTTTCACAGTCCTCTTTGTGCAGCTTGTAGTTTAGAGAATGGCACAGAAAAACTTCTTCTCCCTGAAGGGGTTTTCAGAGGCAGGGACTGGGGACAGGAGCGGGTCCTCTTTGGCGTGAGCTTCACAGTATGACATGAGGTCTGCGGCTGCTTTGGACACCTGCCCCACAAAGAAAACGTGACATTATTTGAAAAAACATTAAAAAAATAATGCATTATTTGTGTTAATTTTAGCCCTTAAGTACAATAGCATTTAATATTTTTGAAGGTGAAATTTTTTTGTAGAAAATTGAGTAATAAACTGGGTCCCATCCAGAGACTGGATATAGGAATGGACAAAGCAAACCAGCCAGCTACGTACTGTATATGAGGCCACATAGGGAAGTCTTCATGGACAACGTTTTGCTCTGACTCACTCTGAGTAAACTCCTCCAGCTCAGTAATCGTTTGTGTCACTCTCACCATCATTGCTTATTTACAGATGCTAACATATAACTACACATTGCTTGCTCTAGTATACACAGTACTTTATATTTGCCTCTTATTTTGCCAACTTTTACACTTCTTATTATTTGTATCATTTTCAAGATAGAGATTTTATATTTTATATTGATGCTATAGTTAGAGATTTTGTTTTATCTTAATTAGTAAAGCTTTTGTTCACTTGTCCTGTGCTGTGTGCTCCTCTTTCCTACTGCTCTACAACTTGTGATGCAACACTGAAATTTCCCCACTGTGGGACAAATAAAGGATCTCTTAATCTTAATCTGAAACTGAAAAATCTGTTTAGCGCTATCATTATCCAAGATGATATTGTCTTGGTAAATCCAGATATGAATCCTCATAACTGACCTATCAGGTGCTTTCTGTCCCCAAATTCAGAATCAGCGAACAAAAAAGAACTGACAAGCGTTGGTGTGACTGGAGTTGTTGCTATTTTAAAAAGTATCTCCAGATTCCCACCCTGAAGCCTGTTTGAGTTGGTGCTCAGCTCTTGGATACATGACTCCTTCTACAGTCTATGTTTAATTCTGGCATCTGACTGAAGGCACAACAAAAGAAAAAGAAAAACGTTATTCTTGCCCTGCGTATCTTAAATGAGTTTAGTTTTTGGAGATGGGAGACGAGTTGATCCGATTGTTGAAAGGGCCTGATCTGGTCCCTGGCTTCAGCTGAATAAAAACAACCAAATGAATTAAAGAACATTTGACTTGGACTGGTTTAAGAATTTCTAGGCGCAGCCAGGGGTCGGAGGGGGTCCGGTTCGGGAACCACAGGATTTCATCTCTGCTGTTTGCGGACGATGTTGTCCTGTTGGCTCCAACGAACCAGGACCTACAACATGCACTGGGACGGTTTGCAGCCGAGTGTGAAGCGGCTGGGATGAGAATCAGCACCTCCAAATCTGAGGCCATGGTGCTCGACCGGAAAAAGGTGCCTTGCCCTCTGCAGGTGGGTGGAGAGGTCCTTCCTCAAGTGGAGGAGTTCAAGTATCTCGGGGTCTTGTTCACGAGTGAGGGAAGAATGGAGCGTGAGATTGACAGGCGGATCGGTGCAGCGTGCGCAGTGATGCGGTCGCTGTATCGGACCGTTGTGGTAAAGAGGGAGCTGAGCCGAAAGGCAAAGCTCTCGATTTACCGGTCAATCTTCGTTCCCTCCCTCACCTATGGTCATGAGCTTTGGGTAATGACCGAAAGAACGAGATCGCGGATACAAGCGGTCGAAATGAGCTTCCTCCGCAGAGTGGCTGGGCGCTCCCTTAGAGATAGGGTGAGGAGCTCAGTCACACGGGAGGAGCTCGGAGTAGAGCCGCTGCTTCTCCACGTCGAGAGGAACCAGTTGAGGTGGCTCGGGCATCTGTTCAGGATGCCTCCTGGACGCCTTCCTGGGGAGGTGTTCCGGGCACGTCCCACCGGGAGGAGGCCCCGGGGAAGACCCAGGACACGCTGGAGAGACTATGTCTCTCAGCTGGCCTGGGAACGCCTTGGAGTCCCCCCGGATGAGCTGGAGGAAGTGTGTGTGGATAGGGAAGTCTGGGCGTCTCTGCTTAGACTGCTGCCCCCGCGACCCGGCAACGGATAAAGCGAAAGAAAATGGATGGATGGTTTAAGTCTTGATTCTCTGGTCTGAACTTGACATGGATCGGTTTAAGCCCTGGCTCTCTGTTCCTGGTTCTCTGGTCCTGGTTTTCTGTACTCACCTTTATCCGATCGATATTGGCCTCCATCTTGAGCTGCTCCACCAGTTTCCGCGCCTGAGCGATTCCCGCTGTGTTGTTGGTTGCCATTGGCCCGGTGTCACTGCCACTTGGCTCTGTGACGAAAAAACAAGAACTATTAAGCTATTGAAGAAAATATGCCACACAAACAGTTGAATTGTCCAAAAAAGTGGTTATGCAGTAATCTGATTACTTCTGCCTCTTTCTGTTGAGTGTTCTCTCTGGTCTGTCTAATGTTCACGCACAAATGTAAACTCATGTCCTTCGTGCTCCAAACGTTCTCCTTATAAAGACACCCGGCTTTATACAACTGTCGCTGGTTATAATCGGTTGGACAGCGCCAGAAGGAGACGGAATTACGATTCAGGGTTTCCAGTTGTGTCTCATTGAATGTGTTATACAATACGTTTTAAAAATAGTTACATATACAGTCTCTTGAATCTATCTCTCTGGACGAGCTGTACAATAGTGGACTTCCATATATTGATTTTCAAGTCCAAGTCTAGTACAAACTGTTTCTGTCAATAGGGAAACACGCTTATGAGTTATAGCTGGTATCTGAATTTTTCTTTGTTTCTTACTGATCTTTTACATATTGAGAGTTGATTGGCTAAGTGTGGGCTGGTACCACTACTTTCTTGCGACAGAGATGCGGCAGAGATGCAACAGAACCCAAAAATACATGTAGTGATAAAACCTAACTGTTTGGAGAGTCAGGAGCTTCCATAAGTTAGATGGATTTCATTTAAAGTAGTTTTTGTGGATTTAAAGTTAGTAATCAATTTGAGTTGGAGTCAAACATGTTCACTCTGCAGCACGAGATTAATATGTATGTAATATGTTTGAGGTCCAAAGGCCAAACGGATCTCCTGATTTTTTTTTAGGTCAAAATAGATGGAAAAGTTTGCTCTGGATCCCCTCTGTTAAGATGCTCTTTTTGGAGCTGTTGAATGGCATGCCTTGAGTTTATTTTGTGCCATGTTCGATATTTATTGTACAAGAAGACCGAAACAGACCCCTGGGCAGGTCAGGTTTGGCTTTCCACACCTTGAGCAGCAGAGATATTTATAAACATAAGTGTGAGTTTACAGAAAAGAAATCGAAAGAAAGAAAAATAATAATAATAATTATGATCAGAGAAAAATGTCCATAAAAACAAAATCTATTTTGTGTTAATAGAATAGAGCGAGCGCTTTCTGGTCTTTGCTGCAGTATCGATGGAGGCCTAGCTATGTCAGAGTCGTGACGGACTCCACACACCATGGCATTGAATAATAATGACAATACATTGTGCTTATATAGTGCTTTTTGGGCACTCAAAGACGATATAAACAATTAAGTGAAGGCGTTTTGAAAAGGTGGGTGTTGAGCAGTAGATGAATGAATGAATGAATGAGTCTTTATTCGGACAATACAAAATAAATAAAAATAAACAAATAAATAAAAAAACTATACGCTTACAATGTATGTACAATTTGTTCCCTCAAGGAATAAATAAAATATACAATCGTGTCCAAAAGGGAGCAGGAAGAAGTACAAATACTTATGTAACCCCGCCCCCTTTTCTACTTATGAGTCCAGTCCAGTTTGTGGTTCAGATGAACACCCAGGTACTTGTAAGAGTCCACTCTATCAATGTCCTTTCCCTGGATGTTCACTGGAGCTGGAGCAGCAGAGTGACGTCAGCGGAAATCCACCACCATCTCCTTGGACTTCCCCGCGTTGATGAGGAGGTGGTTCCGCTGACACCAGTCCATAAAGTTCTGTATAACTCCTCTGTACTCTGTGTCATCATCCTTGTCATGTATAAGTCCCTTTTTGATTTGGGACTTATACATGTATGTATAAAAAATAGGGAATAAAAAAAATGGAAGGGTGATGTCGTTTGGAGGAAACCCTGATGTGGATACGCTGAAGAAATACGTTCCAACATCCATTTTTCCCACTTCTATTTTGGACATCAATTGCTTATTTATTTTGCATAATCTATAATTACATTGCTTTTATTTTGTTGTTGTTTTTTTTTTTATCTCAAATGTCCAAATAAAAGAAAAAAATCATTCAAAACATTCATTCAGCATTAGCACGGCTGTCATGGCAATGTGAATGGAGACAGACAAACAACTGATAAAATAATTCCCTGTGTTTGCTGCTGGATTTGGTGTTTATCTGGCAACCTGAGTCAGGGAGAGTGGGAGAGGACTACAAAATATTGACTGTGACTGCAGTACCACTTTTGGCCAGATTTTTACATATTGTTCCTAACTTCCTTTAGCTATGTAGTGAGCAAAAAGAAAAATCAAGACATTCGATAAGATTGTAAATAAATTGAAATTGAATTAATTGTAAAACTTGCAGCATTTGCTAATTTGTTGAAATTAGTTCCTCAAAACAGTGAGGCGACAGTAGCTCAGTTGGTAGAGCATTGGCCCACCTCTGCACCTTCTCCACCGACTCCCACTGATGACTGCTGTCGTTGTGTCCTTGGGCAAGACACTTAACCCCACTTTGCCCAAAAGCCCCCACTGAAAGATCAAGGCTATGCTCACACTCAGAGAGCAGCCGTCCTCCTGTGGACTCACCACCTGCAGAGGGTCAGTGAGGGGCTGGTGCTATGAGACTTGGGTGGCATCTCTGACTGCCACCCCCCTGACCCAGAAATGGATTAAAGGGTAGAAAATGGATGGATGGATGGATAGTTCCTCAAAAACAAAAGGCCAAATTTACAGACGTTTTGTATCTATGTGGTACATTGTTTTCTTTGTAGTATTATTCATTGCTTATACTTTTATCTTTCTTTTTAATGTACTGTGATTATTTATTATTTTAATGCTATTTTCTTTTGTTCAGCACTTTGAGTTGCCTTGTGTATGAAATTGTGCTATACAAATAAATTTGCCTTGCCTTGCCTTATACAAGAATCATTTGTGAGGATACATATTTATATATAAAATCCAGTCCTTATCTCAGCGACATGTTGTTGGTGGGTGCCAACACCGCTTCAGTTGAGACCCACTGTAATGATGCATCTGTGTTTTCTGTCTCACCTCAGTCCTGAAGCTCCTACAGCGTTTTCAGCTCTGAGCGTATAAACCCTCGGATCTGAAACAGGAAAAACAAATTCACAATTACAACCTTTCAACCCGACGTAAAGGACAAATTACACAGTGTTAAGACTGCAGCTTTGTCTGTGCAGACTCCCCAAATTCCATTTCAAGTTTCAAAATGAGGAGGAACGTTCAGTGGCGAGGACTCTTCGATTGCATTTTTTATGTGATGAATTTAATGGAAGACTAAAACAAAATGTGAATTATTAAAGATGAGGTATCTAACTTTCATGCAATAAAACACATTTGACGAGTTCTTGATTCTATAACGAGTTTTCACACAATATAACCTTTCTTTGTCCCTCAGTGGAGAAATGTCAGTGTCATTGCTGCGCACATTACAACAATGTGATTTTGAAAAAGATTGGATCACATTTGATGGTGATGTTATGCCATGTGAGAAATTCAAAATCCTTTAGATACTGAACTTGTTCAGTAAAGTTAGTTAGTTAGTCAGATAGTTAGAACATATAAAAGCATAGCTTTTGCATGTCAATAGGAGCCAGAACTTCATCCATGAGCATAAGGGTTATCATCGTCCATATATAAACAGTCTATGTTCACATCACCACAACTAACTCAGTCTCAACTAAACTGTCCCAGCATGAACCAGGATAAACCCAGACATACAGTATTGTTTTTCCCCTCCATGTTCGGTAGATGAGTTGGAGCTGTCTTGAAGTTTTAAAGGTCTCGTATTGGGCTTGTAATTTCAATAGTCACCATCAGATTCATCATCGTTTTTGCAGGTCTATAATATTCAACTTCAGAAGAACATACATTTCATAAACAGACATGAATCAAGTGTTCATTACAAATGAAAACAACTATGGCATGTTCAAAGCTGTGAATATTTGATGTTGCATGTGGTGTCTCTATCAATAAAAGTTTGTGAGTTTCTTCCACTCTGACCACAGAGCAAGCTGTCAGAAGATTAATGTAGCCCAATTGTAGAAAATGTATTGGTCATTTTTTAAATCTCCAAACCAAGTCACTGAGGCACACTTTGGTAACGTTCAGCACAATCCTCTTCTATCTCCAACTTTACATGTCATCATGATAGAGTATGGCTTCAAATGTAGTCTGGTAAGCCTGAGTAACTATGGCTCACCAGCCTCAGCCCTGGATCTACAGTCTCAGCCCTGGGTATGTGGCCCCAGCCCCGGATTGGTGGCCTAAGTCCTGGACCTATGCATAAGGGTGTAAAGGCAGGAGATGACCCTGTACATTTATGGACATATGAAAAGATTAAGTGAAAGCATAACATAACAGGGAAGTTTATTGAATGAAATGTTATATATATTATGAGATTTGTCTTTACATGCATTTCCTTCTATCCTAATTGAGATGTTTTTAATCTGCACTTTGGGGTCTGATCTTTGAAAGGGAAGTGTGTGAATGTCAGCGGAGGTTCACGGGGCGACACTCAGGCTGATCAGAGTAGAGACACCTGCTCCGGAGAGGGACAGAAGGCTCCACACAGAGGGGGAAGAGCTCGAAGGAAAAGAGCGCACAGTTGTTTGATTTATAAAGGTTGTGTTCATTAAACTGGTGACTTTTGGGGGATTGTGAACAATGCATTTTCTTTATCCCAAAAGAAAGTCTTGTAAAAGTGAAATGTTGTGAACAAATCATTCCATGCCATCCTGTTTTCGAAAACATGTTTTCTTTTGCATACTTGTCGAAACTGCCATGTTATTTATTTGACTCTTTTGGGTTGAGAGAAGGTTGGATGAGTTAGAATAGTTTTTATTTGTTTTTCTGAAAAATCTGATAAGATGCAAACAAAAACTTGTTATCAAAACAAATTTTCTTTTGGTTCTATCACTAGAGCTTTGTTTTTCTGTGGTTTACAGAATAAAGTGTGTTCATTTCTGGCTTGTTGACTTGATGGAGAACTGGCTATGAATCTGAGTCTGTCTCAGAAAGAAAAGCATACATCTTTGTCTAAAAAAAGGATTTCCTACAACAGGGTGTCCAAATGTTTCAGTAAAAGGGCCACCCGGCTTGCCCAGGGGCACACCACCCAGATTCACACTCATCCCCTTTATTAATCCACCCAACCCTCATAGCACCGATCCCTCACTGATCCTCCTGCAGGAGGTGAGTCTCCCGGAGAATGGCTGTTCCATCAGGGATGACGCTAAGATTCTAAAACTGTTATTAAAGATTTTGGCTGTTCTGGGCTTGATATATCGGTATTGATTTACGCCACAGCCACATTAGTGCCATGTATGGAATCTAGTGACGCGTTAAAAAACAAATGTTAGAATATATAAGTAAAGTTAACACCTGGATTCCAAATGTTCTGAGATTTACAACAAGGTATAGCATGACTGTATTGGTGGAGCTGAAGTTGAATGGATGATATTCACGGACTGCAGGATAAATAGTCCTCGTTTTTCACAGTTAATTTGTTGTAAATGTTTACATTTTGTTTGTGCATTGCTGTTCACCGGTTGTCCCTCTCTCTGTTTCATGACGCGCTGGTGGGACTCGAAACCCTGACTCCCTGGACCTGAAGACTGGTCCACAGCCGTTGGGAGTTGGCGGTTCTGTGACGCCCCTTGAGACGACTGTTGTTGTGATTTCGGGCGATACAAATAAAATTGGTTTGATTTGATTTGATAAATTGAAAGTGCCTCAATGAAGTTTGTGTTCACAGGCAAGGCAAGGCAAGTTTATTTGTATAGCACAATTTCATACACAAGGCAACTCAAAGTGCTGAACAAAATAATCACTGTACATTAAAAAGACAAATAAAAACATAAATCCCTCAGTTGTATGCACAGCTAAACAGAATTGTTTAAAACCTGGTTTTAAACATTGTAGCAGCACATAAAAGGATACAGTGGGGGCACATCACTGTCTTGGGATTGACTTCCAGGGGCATAGGTTAGAAGATGCTCCAATTATCCCTACCACTAAAAACGTGCAAAAATCCAAACAGACACTGAAATCTCAGTGGGACTACTGTTTTCTGGTTAAAGCCTGTGTGATTAGTTGCAGTCTCTAAAACCCTTTGCGTCTTTCACTAGTTTTCACACAATGTATTGTCGGCCTCTGTCACATCTTTAGATCAGTTTTATCAAGCTAAGAGAAAGGACCACCCTCACTCAGCCAATTAGCTCTCAGCCCAAAGAGTCAAATAGTGACAGGTTCTTTTTTACAAGCATGCTATATGATAACATTATAAGATGATAAGATGAAGAGAAGCACATTGTGATCTGATTTGTACAGATTACTTACTCTTTCTGACTACAATACATCTAATTTAATTATTATAATTTATAGTAATGTTATTGATCATACTTCCATCCATCCATTTTCTTCCAATCCATTTCTGGGTCAGGGGGTGGCAGTCAGAGCTACACCCAGTACACAGAGCACAGAGCACCAGCCCCTCACTGATCCTCCTGCAGGTGGTGAGTTCACAGGAGCCTTGATTATTCAGTGGGGGCTTCAGGCGAAGTGGGGTTAAGTGTCTTGCCCAAGGACACAACGACAGCAATTATCAGTGGGAGTCGTGAAGTAGGTCTTATGGTGGGCTCGAACCCACGACCCTCAAGCTGCTTTACCAACTGAACCACTGACGCCCCCTCCTTTTTCAACCCCTTCATCAATTTCTGGGTCCCCCTCAATCAGTGAGGAAGCACCAGCTCCTCAGCAAGGGCTTCAGACAAAGTGGGATTTAGTGTCATGCCCAAGGACACAACGACAGCAGACATCAGAGGGAGTAGGTGGGGAATGAGCCCACCAAGACCAACTTTCAGGCCCAGAAGCCTGCTCTATCAACTGTGCCACTGTCGCCCTGTTATTGATAATAAAATATATATAATCTTATAATGACTAAAAAGGTGGGCATTTGCTAATGATAATATAGTATCATCAGCATTTTTTTTTCAAGACTAACTTTCATTTGTCAGTGGGCAACATAGATATAAAGGAAGCAACGTTTCTGTATGCCAACAATGACATTAATCAATGAAAGAGACAAATCAAATTGCACTAGGTCTATTTTAGCAGAGCGTTCCTCATTATCTGTCTCAGTAATTTAATATTGTGTCAGTGGTGCTCTGGTCCATAGGGAGGACGTGTTTATGTCCGGGAGCAGCCCACATGGTGAAATCACAGCATGGTAATTATAAAGCTCCCATCTGCGCTCCGCTTAGACCTGTGTGACTGGGGAGGGGTAAGTGTGTGTGTGTGTGTGAGTGTGTGCGGGCGTATGTGTGTGTGTGCGTGTGCGTGCATGTGTGTCCTCAGGTGTGTCTGTGTGTGTGTATACTGTAAATCTGGGCACATGCGTATGTGTGTCTTTGAATGTGTGAATGTGTGCGTGCGCTTTTGTGCCTGTGGGCGTTTGTGAGTGTGTGTGTGTGCATTCGCGCTGGTGAACTGTGAGTTATGGGGCCACACCTGGGACCGTCCTGTAACTGTGTGCAGTGATAATGAAGCAAACCTCACGAGAGCAAAGACCAGCTACAACTTCAACAAGTGACAACGTAGACCTGCAACCAATGCAATGATACTATATCTATCCTGATTGAACCTTGAGTTTTGCCAGTTTGAGGTGAGTTTCTCTCTCAGACTGCTGCCCCCGTGAATGGATGGATAATTGAATGGCAAAAATACATAATAATAAGAATAATACATATTTAAAATGTATACAACTTTTCATGCAGAGGAATGGAATAGATATGAATTGGGCGGTATTGATGTATGATGTGGGGGTGGTAATGAGCTGATGTGTGGCGTTACTTCCTGTATGCGAGGCCCTAACAAATCAATAGCTGTCTTGTCGATCTGCCATTAAACAAGTCCGTACCCTTCAGTATTCAGTCCCACAAATGGATCAACGAAAACATGGTCACATCACAGAGGCCTCTGCTTCAAGTTGGCGATCATTAGGCTTTTTCTTTTATTCAAAATGGCTGCACATCCTCCGCTGAACACAAGACAAAGCAGAGAGTTTTGTAGTGGTGATGGTCAGAG